TCCAAGTTATAATATGTTGTGAGATAAAGCTATTTCTATTGTTTGACCATGTATTTTACTTATAGTATGAACGAGCATTTAAGCTCGGCATTAAGACATCAATCTTACCAAAGTACAATACCTCATATATATATATATATATATATATATATATATATACATATTGGGATTGTATATTTGTTTTCACCCAAATATATATATTTAATGGCGATTTTTACTAATATTAATAGAATTTAATATATTTTTATTTTTATGCGAGTGCTCGTGTATAATTTTTTTGTGAAATTAAGTACAACGTCTTTACTTATATGGTATTTTTTAAAAAATAATTAAATATTTTTTTTTACAATTTTATATTAAAATTTAACCTGTAAATTTCTTTATGGGGGTATATTTTAGGTAAATATTTATTTTCAACGGAAGACGATATTCTATTTGAGACAAAAAAAAAAAAAAAAAAAAAACATTTTTATAGAACAAAATTCTGAGTAAAATACATAACAAAAATTTGACAAAACAAAATTATGTCTACTACGATGATGTGCTTTATCCTAATCAGTAGCGTCGGTCAAGGGCAACCTCGAACTAGAAGCTATGTGTCTTTTATTTTAGGAAACTGACAATAAACTTTCTATTTTTTGTTTCTGTTTAACAGTAACTGTACGGGATGAAATTTCGATAATACTATTATTTAAATTATTAAATTATAGGTTTAGTAAAATATAATTGACAAAAAGTTTAATAATCACAATCATAAAAATTAATTAATAGTTAAGTTAAATCCACATCCAAATAGGAAACCGTCAATGTCGAGAGCCAGAAATGTGTGGCACGTTTCATTTTATAGGAAATGCGATGCGACACCGCATTGAAAAAGAGTTTAGAAACGACAAGAACACGACTCCTTCGATAGGAAACCACCATTCTCACATGCCGACACTGGAGACTACTAAAGACAGACACGTGACGGCTGAGATCATAGATTTCGTCACCTATATTATTTTTAATTTTTCTATGTCGTGATTATACGACAGCGTTTTGACCTGTTAAATGCAGTGAGACTCTTCTTTAAATTCTACAATTCATCTGTTTTTTGAATGCCCTCTCGCTTTAAATTTTGTTTTGAGCATAGAAATCACAGAATCGAATCAACTACATTAGACCCAGGAAAATGCATATACATATAGATCGGAAGATTATACT